CCCTAGGTTAGATCACCAATACAAATAAATAAATAAATAAATAAATAGCCTCCGGACTTATCCTCCTTCTGGTCTTTTGAAGCCACTCACAGTCATGTGAAAGCTATCCATTTTTACAATTCAATTTGCTTTGGTTGCACTATTTTTCAAAAAATAAATAAATAAATAAGGGGTGGACAGAATCTTTCCCCATTATCCATAGCTCTGCAGTGGTTCAAGCCAAACATATTAACACCCAGAGAAGAGAACCAGTAAAGTCTCCCAAAGGCCAGAACATAGAAGTGAAAGTAGAATATCTCTACATAAAAAGTGGAACACTTCCATTCTCATGATAACCTGCTTAATTCTGGAGTCATGTGGGAACTTGGGGCTGCCCTCCAGCCATTTCTAGGACTGCCCTGGCAAACAACATTGGCTGTTAGTGTTCTAGAAACATAAATGTTGGACTTCTTTCCTCTGCCTTTTCATTACAGCAACTCCCATATTGCTAGCAAACTTCTACCTCGGCAGGGCTAAATGTTATGCAGTTACACAAAAAAGAAAAAGAAAAGGTGCCCTTCTGACCAGCTGTGATCCAGTTGCCCTAACATGATACCCACCACATAAACTTCAGCTGGCCTTCAGGGTTTGGGACAAGATGAAGTGTTTGTCACAGCTCTCAATACTTGGATTTCATCTTCATTTTGATTCTCTTCTCAACTCTTTTGCCTAACAAAATTAGCTCACTGTGATGATTTAGACTAAAACTTTGTGGAATCTATCTTGGCGGTTCTTTAGATATTTTTAAAATATTTATATATACTCAACTGCTTCCAACAATCTTTCTTCCTTTAGTTTTGATCCATAATTTTATGTATTCATTCAGAGTTTTTCATCCACCAGAATAACACTGTTTTGTTTGCATGAAATATTTTATTGGTTTCTTATGTATTTTCATCATTAAATGAACTTGGGTTATATAACTCAACTCTTTATGCAGAAGCTGATTTTTCATATCCTATTAGTAATCCATAAACTCCATAGAACTACTTTAGACCTTTTAAACCAAATTATCTTGAATCTTACACAGCCAGTGTCACTTCAGCTTCTGGTTTAGAAAAAAGATGATTCTGTGGCTAGCCTTGCTATCTCACGGAACCTCAAGGAATAACATCTTTCCATTCCTGGTTTCTTTTTGCTTTCAAGATGCTTTAAAAACTGAGAGTGTAGGGCTGGGGTTGTGGCTCAGCAGTACAGCACTTGTCTAGCACATGTGAGGCACTGAGTTTAATCCTCAGCATCACATAAAAATAAATAAACAAAGGTATTGCCTCCATCTACAACTAAAAATATTTTTGAAAAAAAAAAAGCCTGAGAGTGTAAAATGCAGTGTATCAGAATTAATAAAATTATGCCAATTAGTGACCTTAAAGACTGACATGTACCATGGGGGACAGGAAGGGCAGCAGAATACAATAGACACTTGTATTGCTGTGGCCGTATAACCAATGTGATCCTGCAACCTGTACACATGGAAAAATGAGAATTCATACCCCATTTGAATCAAATTATGATATGTCAAGATCATTGTATTGTCATGAGCAACTAATAAAAAAAAACCTGAGAGTGTAAAAATGCAGTGTATCAGAATTAATAAAATTATGCCAATTAGTGACCTTAAAGACCGACATGTACCCTAGGGGTCAGAGAAGGAAATTGCCCATCAAACTCCTCACGGAAACCTCCTAAACAAGTCCAAAAGATTCCTGGAGAGACGCCTAGATGAGTTACTAAGCCACATGTGAGCTCCTCCCAGCCTCTCCCTGGGTTCAGCCAGACAGAATCCACCTGGCATGCTGAGTATGGAAACACATGATGCTTTTGTTGTCTTGACATTTCTTCCCCAAAGAAGCCACACTCAGATATTTGTGGAGTGAACTCTTTAAGTCTGGAATTACTGAAAACTTAGTAGGTATTTTTTAAGAGCTCCAAGTGAGGTAATTGGGATTAATTAGATTGCTTTCTTTTTATTCTCCCCCCTTTTCCTTCTATCTTCAAGTTATAAGAGACTTGGCTTTTTTAAGGGGAAAATAAACTTTTCTCTGACTTTCTTTTCCCTCAATTTCAACTTTTTTATTAAGTTCCATTGGGATCAATACCCATAAAATGAACCAACTTGTCTCATCTGCTTCCTTATAATCAAGTGGAATCTGCCTTCTTTTGGAATAGTGGGATGTTTTTAAGCACCAGTACAGAGAGAGAGAGAGAGAGAGAGAGAGAGACTGACTTTCCTTTACAAGTTCATGTTTTCATAAAATAAGGTATTACTGAAAATAGAATGAATTTTCAGTCCTTCTGATGTGTATGAAACTGCTACATAGAACCATTATGGATTGTGAGGAGCAAGAAGAATAAAAGAGGACTTTGTTCATTTGAGATGAGAATTTCTGAATTAACCAAAAAAAAAAAAAAAAAAAGAATCATTTTCCTGTTTGAGTGCAGCTGATTTTTTTGGAAATGTATTAATGGTAAGACTGATCACTGCATTTCACAATTGTATTTTGTTTATATTCGTAATTGTGATATCATAGCTACTTTCCAATTGTTCAAATCCAGTCATCAAGTCCTCTTGCTGGCATGGGGAAATAGCACCCCCAAAGGAGTGGTAACAGGACCTTTTCTCTTGATCATCATCATCTGAGACAGCTCCTCTTAGACTTTGTGCATATGATTAACCTGTGGATCCTTTAAAAAACTTTAGGTCCTGAATTGGCATGTCAGGGGTGTGAACCAAAATTCTGCATTTTTTATAAGCCCCTGGTGATGCTACTGCTGCTGACCACAGACCAAATTATAAATAGCAGTGGTTTAGAGTATCTTTACATAAAAATTCCAAATGCAATAATTTGGAAATTTGAGGGTGAAGGGTAGAATTCTGTAGGTTGGCATTTGGTTTGTCAAAGACAGCTTAGTGGTTGAACATGTACCTTCACAAAGGCTGTGTTCCTGGTTCACATCCTGGAGGATGCATCCTTTGTATAAAGGCTGCTTCCCCTGTGCACCCTCTACTCCTATTTTTGTAGCAAACTAATGAACAGATTATATTCAATTTCCTTGAGGATGGAGGTATGTTACTGTGTTCCAGTCTTAATATGCCTGGAGCCCAGCATATTCCCTGGCTCCTGGCCAATTAATGAGTTGAATTGAATCAAAATGAATTGATTGAACTTCATTAGAACAGTATGGAGATGACCTGGTTTTGTCCATTTAAAAATCACTTGTTTTCTTTTTAAGGGATTCATACTGCCTTTATGTCCAAATTTAAAATTCTGCTGTCAATAATTAAAAACTAATTTCTAGAGTGATATACTCCTTTTAAACCATATTTGCTTAAAATGCAACATGAAAAACTAAATATAAATGTAAATTAAAGGTAATGAAGACTCAAGAATCTCAAAGTTTTATTCCTAGGCATAGTGAAAAAAAATTAGGTCTGCAATAAGAAGACTTTGAAAATCATTTTCTGTTTAAGAATTTTATTCTGGGAATAAGAGGGAAGGCATTTGTAGACTATTGTGACAGATTCAAACCTCTTCTTGTACTTGTAAGAAGGTACACATTATTCTTGAGTCTTCTATAAAGCATACAAATCCCAAAAGATTCCAGTTAAGTTATTTGCAGCTTGGAATAATTTAATAAATTATTGTATCAATCACAGTATTTCATGACTGAAACTTGAATACCATTTTTCATTATTTCATTCAATATTTGACTATACTTTTTTAAAACTTTTAGCGGGTTTATTGAGATTTAAATTCATATACCATACAGTTCACCCATTAAATCTACAATGACTTCTAGGATATTCACAGTATGTATACCCATCATCACAATCAATTTTAGGAACTTTTTAATACTCCAAGAAGAAATTCTGTACCCCTCAGCTATCACCCTCTCCCACACCATTCTTCTGTGCCTCCAGCCCTAGACAAACAAGAATCTACTTTCTGTCTCTGTAGATGTACCTATTTTATACATACCATATATGGACTCATATAATACATGGTCTTTTGCAACTGTCTTTCACATAGCATAATCTTTTCAAAGTTGATGCATGTGGCATGTATCAGGATTTTGTTCCTTTTGTGGAGAAATAATGCTTTACTATATGACTGTACCACAGTTTATTCATTCAGTGGTTAGTGGACATTTAAGCTGTTTCAGTTTTTTTAGCTATTATGAATAAAACTGCTATAAACGTTCATGTACAAGTTCTTGTGTGGAAATATGTTTTCATTTCTCTTAGATACATACCTAAGAATGGATTTTCTGAATCGTATGGTAATGGTATGTTTAACCTCTTGAAGAACTGCCAGACTGTGCAAGGGTTGCAACTCCTCTACACTGAAACCTGCTGATATCTGTCTTTTGATTGTAACCATCCTAAGGAGTGTACATGGTGACCCATTGTGGTTTTTATTTGCATCTCCATGACAGTGATTTTGACCATTTTTTCATATGATTGACCATTTCTATATCTTCTTCTCCAGATCCACTGCCCCCATTTTAAATTAAGGTATTTTTCTCTGTATTATGGAGTTGGAAGGGTTCTTTATATATTCTTACAAATCTCTTATCTCAGTTTCCTGGTAGTCAAAATACATATATTTAGTTGTAGTTCAACAGAATACCTTTGTTTTATTTATTTATTTATTTTATGTGGTGCTGAGGATTGAACCCAGCATCTAGCATGTGCTAGGCAAGTGCTCTATCACTGAGTCACAACCCCAGCCCTCCTGATGGTAACTTTTAAAGCACAACAACTGTCCATTTTGAAGAAATCAAATTTATTTTCCTTTTTCCTTTGGTTCTTGCACTTTTGATATCACATCCAAGAATTCAATATCATGATGTTTATCTCTATGTTTTTTTCCAAGAGTCTGTGCTGATAGCTCTCACATTTAGGTCTTTGATCGATTTTAAGTTAACTTTTGTATATGGTGTTCTTCTGTGTTTTTAAGTGCTGTGATCTTGGCTACCATGCAAGTCTGAACAGAGCACTAAGAACATATCTCTCTGCTGAGTATAACCTTGAAACCTCCAGACACGAGGGCCTAGACATCATCGAGAATGCAGTTGACAATTTAGAGCCAAGGAGTGATAAACAGAGATTCATGGAGATGTACCCTGCTGCATTCTGTCCACCAATGAAGTTTGAGTTTCAGTCTCACATGGGTGATGAGGTCAGTAATTGAAAATTTTAAAATTAATGAATTGTCTGTTCATTTATACTTCTCCTCATCTGTTATAACCCAACAGTTGTAAAAATTCCCATTCATTTTCTCCCTTTTGCCTTTGCACAAGATCTCAGAATAATAATATATTAAGACCAACCATTACCACCTTTTAAAACAAAGGTTGAACACTCAAATGCCAAACAGATAAATGTGCACATTTGTCTGGGTGTAAGTCCCAAATCATTCCAGAATAGTTGGGGAAGTCTTCCTCCACCTCAGAACATTCAAATTAAAATTAAAAACCAAACATCTTACAGACTCAATAGAATCTTTCTAAAGACTCCTTATAATACTGATTTAAAGATCTCTATAAAGAAAAATAATTGCAAATAGCAGGCAAAAGGAAGAGGGAGGAAAAAGTACAAAACATTTTTTAAGACTCAAGTTGATTCCATTTTAGCTTATTGTAGTGATGGTCTGTTTTTAAAAATAGATGCAGTTATAATATTCATGGAAGTTTCTTTCATGTCTTTATTTGAAACACCTAGTATTTAGATATATAAGATATATGTGTGTTTGCCAGCTATATTTCTAATCTGATTTTACTTTTGTTAAATAAATTACTTGTCAATAAATAGTAAGTATAGGTCAAGCATCCTTAATACAAATATCTGAAATGCTTCAAAATCTGAATCTTTTTGAGTGCCAGTGCTCAAAAAGCTTCAGATTTTGGAACATTTTAGATTTAGAATTTTCACATTAGGAATGCTCAACTAACTGGTAAGGAATAATGCAAACATCCCCAAATCCAAAGATCTAAAATCCAAAATAATTCTAGTCCCAAACATTCAGATAAAGAATACTGAACCTGTAGTTCTTCTCAGTAACACATGAATTTTAACAAATAAGATGAATGATTTATCCCACCCGATGTTATCTTCCCAAACCAAATGGTTGTTGTTTTCATTTTTTCAGTTGTGTATATGTTAAACGCAGAATGATAAAATGTCACAGATAACTGACTTCGATTGTATGTCAATGGGTTTATTATTATTTTAATAAAGTGGATCTGTTGCCCTTTTTTATGGCCAGTTCTTCCAGGGACCAGTAATCTCTATGATGTTTTGGAGACACCATTAAATGCTGACAAGGAAGATAAAAAGACATTATTTCTGGTGTCATTGAATAATACTCTAATTCTGATTTTTTTTCATAACTGAAATGATGGCTAAAACATGTTCTACCAAAGCCTAAGATGATAATCGCTTCTCGGCCTTTTGGCTAAGATCAAGTGTAGTATCCAAAGCCTAGGATGAGGTGCCTCTTCAGTATAATGGTAAATAATAAAATTGACTGATATCAGCTAGTGAAGCTATGGTTGAAAGATGCTAAAAATAGGCATTCACATTTTCTGAGTTTTTACTATGGGCCAGGCATCCTTCTAAGTGCTTTTGAATATATTGTCTCATTTCATGCCAGCTTTGTAGTGTAGAAACTTTCCATTTGACAGATGAGGAAAATGAGGTTTTATAACTTGCCACAGGCACTCAGCTAGTTGATGGCAGAGCTGGGATTCAAGCACAACTGGCTGTCTCCAGATCCCACACTGTCCAGAAAGGCCTGATGCCTTCATTATTTCACCTGTAAAATCCCCTGGATCATCCTTTTGCACTCTGCCCTCTGCCCAGTGGTCATTAGGATTCCACAAGCGAGGCTCCAGCATCAGAGCTCCATCTCAGGAGCGCCTGTTCTCAGAGCAGTGCTTCCGACAGCTGCTGTCTTCCCAGTCATAGCCAAGCCAGGCAGCTGCTCTCCACGCTTGCCACTTATATCCAAGTCTCTATTTAAAACTAAAGTTTTTGAGGTGGCTGATAAAAGTAAAGATGTGCCAGGTGTGGTGGCACACCCGTGTAATCCTGACAACTTGGGAGGGTGAGGCAGGAGGATCACAAGTTCAAGGACACTCAACAACTGATCAAGACCCTGACTCAAAATAAAAAGGACTAGGGATGTGGATCAGTGGTTAAGTGCCCCTGGGTTCAATCCCTTGAACCAAAAAAAAAAAAAAAAAGAAGGAGGAGGAGGAGGAGGAGGAAGAGGAGGAGGAGGAGGAAGAGGAGGAGGAGGAGAGATGTAACTGGAATCTTGAGAGAATCCATGTGACACTTGTGCTTCTGGTTGGTGGTGCCCCTTGTAACTGCAGTTTCTTATTCTCCATCAGGTGTGTCAGGTCAGTGCCCAGCAACCGGTCCAGGCAGAGCTCATGCTCAGGTACCAACAACTGCAGTCCCGCCTGGCCACGCTCAAAATCGAGAACGAGGAGGTGAGCATTTGTTCTGCCCCAGCAGTACTGGAACTCCAGGGCAAAGCAGAAGGCACGCTCACATGACCTAGGCATACCTGCTGTTCCAAGTGCGGTCTGCATCCTGTACTTTGAGCTACCAAGGTTCCTACAAAACTCTTTATAACAAGGATAAAAGCAGGGCTGGGGAGGGGATGTGGCTCAAGCGGTAGCACGCCGGCCTGGCATGTGTGCGGCCCAGGTTCGATCCTCAGCACCACATACAAACAAAGATGTTGTGTATGCCAAAAAATAAAATATTAAAATTCTCTCTCTCACTCTCTCTTAAAAAAAAAGGATAAAAGCAGAGATTAATATTTTAAAGAGATTCACTGACTATATATGTAAACATACCTTGTTTTCCTAAATTATAATTCATACTGGAAATAATTCCATGAAATATCTAATTCACATACATGTCCAAAAATATGTAGTCATGTGTAGAAGACAACTTTTGACTGATAAATTAATTTGATCCTAACTTTTGAAATCAGTAGTTATTGTGTTATTTTTCTTTATGATTTTTCCATGTTCTCCAAACTTTTGGTACTAACCATGGCATTACTTATAAAATTAGTACAAAGATCATATTTTGAAATAGGGAGAGAAAAGTTTTTATTTGCTGACATTCATATATTTTAAAGGATAGAATATGCAAATGTGAATTATGAATATACATAAGAGAGAGAGAGAGAGAAGATGCAGTTAACAATTCAGCTATTTAGATGCCTATTTCTGAAATTATCTTAATTGGATCCACATTCTCCTAAAATAAAAACATGAACCATGAATGTTTCTTATATTAGCCAAGGCTTTCAGTTATAATTTATAGGACCAAGTCAAAGATACTCAAGTCAAAAAGTCAAATAGTTAACTTGTTGATCAAGGTTTGCAGTAGCCTCAGACATGATTAGATTTTATTATCAGGAATCTCCCCCCACACACTCTCCGAAGTGATTTGTTCATATGCATTGGTGGTATTTGGGGCATACATCCAAAACTACATGGTCACTTACAGCTTGCCATCTCACCCAGCCCACATCCTTATCTCTGGAAAAAAACTTCCTCTTCATTGGCTGGGCTTAAGTCATGCATACTTGATTCTCTTGTTTTGCCAGCCTAAATATTGTGCCACTCATAGACCCCTTTGATTGACAACCCCAACAGAAATAATGTATTTCTAGAGACAGAAAATTCCCAAAAAGAAGGAATGTGGAACAGAAAGAAAAACAAACCCACATAGATAAAATTAATTTTCAAAATTCACTTTAGTACCCTGTTTTATTTTAATTCAGCTGGGGTGTTTTAAGCTATGTGCATTTCTATTAAGAAAGAGTGACCAGTTTCTCTAGACCTTTATAATTTGATCAACACTCATCATAGCTTTCAGACTTCTGTTCTTACTGGAGGAACCAAACCAACCCTTACTCAAGATGCAGCCAACATGAACTCTATGTAATAAAGTCCCACAAATGAGCCTTTCCAACAGGGAAGTATTGCTGTCCTTGAGGTAGTGTTTTAGAGCTTAGGGTTTGGGCTAGGCAGCACAAAATACTTGCCGAATGCAGTTTCTTGGATCCTGGAAGATCTATTTTGTATATCTAGTGACTTCCAATGTTTTTCAAACATATCCTCCTGCTGTTTTATTTGAAAAATATTCCTAAACTCTAGGAAAATAAAGTGTTATACCCAAGGTCGAAACTGGCAACCTACAGACCTGTTTTGTTTGGCTTCCAAAGTTTTGGCTTATAAAAGAAAAATCTGGCAATTCTGGCCCTGTGTTCCCTCGTGAACTAAAGAGCTAGGGTGTCTGAATTCACTTGTCTGTAAGTCATTCATTTTCCAGTCTTCTTACATTTATTCTATTTGTGTTATCTGCCTGGCTTTTGTAAGCCTTTGAGTTTGTAATCCTTGATATTTCCCATAATAAACTTAACATGGAGAAGCACAGTGTCCCTATAAACTGGTAGAGTCAGGCAGTACTTTTTGAGGGTTGACTTTAAAAAATTAGCTGTAGAGGCAAATGAATTGGATTGTCTTGACGTTCCCTGCAAGCATGACTAGTGGTTTATGATTTGTTAGATACAGAACAAAGTTTGCTGCAATAAAATGGTATTTTATTGGAAAGGAAGATTTAAATTAGGTTTTTGGTAATCAGTAGGTTTCTACAGGTACAGAAGGAGGAAAAGATGTTTCAGTATATCTCAAGGTATTCTGGGAAGATAGAGCAGTTTGGTTGACAGCCTGGATCTCCATGGGGATAAGCGGATGGTGAAGGCAAAGTCACATGACAGGAGGATTTCAGAGTCAAGTCAAGGAGTTTTGTTACTGTGGTGCAGTTAATTTCAGTACAAGAATGTTTTTCAAGCATCTTTGGCATTTCAGGTATTTTGCCAGGTATGGGGAACACAGAGATGGATAAGTCATAATGAGCTTCTGAGTAGATTAAGAGAGCCATTGACTGCAACAAGTAATTTGCTTAGGAACAACAGCCATCCTTGCTGATTTGGAGTCCCTTGGTAGCTCTTTCCTCTACCATAAATAAGGGATTTGCCGCTATCCTCCTCTGATACAAGCAAGGGCAGAAAATTGACATATTGGTATCAAACCAAAATTGCAAGTAAAGAAACACAGTATAATTCTCTGCCTCTGTCCAAAGTTTACTGGAAAGACTTCAATTAACTAAAAACAATTACAACTGCCCAGCGAAAGCATCAACATTGAGGAATAATTTCATCCATGTATGCAAAAGCAGGGACACTGACGTTAAGCAGATCATGAAGCTTTTCACCAAATCTTAAGACTACTTACTATAAATAGTGGGCAGCACTGGACTGTAGGGGGTCCCCTCCAAGGGACTTTCTATGCTGAAAGCCCCCAGAGCATTTTGACCTGTGGACAAATTTTCTTTGTTCTACTGTGCTTCTTTTTTTAAAGTTAATGCTGTCACTTAAAAATGGGGAGTTTTGCATAAAACTATTAATATCTTGTTCATGAAAAAAGAAAATCAAATTACACTAGGCCTCTTCCTCTGCAGGAGAATAACAGGCTGGAGCTGAGCAAGGAATGCTCCCCTCTGACAGGATGCACTTCCCCTTTGCCATGCTCTCCACTTGCCTCAGTTATTTCTTGGTTGACCCTTAAAGATTTTAAATTTGCAACATCTGCTTAAAAACAAAGATATAAACATTTGTGAAATGGCTTCCATATACTCGTAAGTAGTAAAATCTGAAATGACACAAAAGTTTGCAGAGGAGTTAATTAAATTTAGGATGGAAATTCAGAATGGATTGACATTTATTGTCATTTCACAATTCTCCCTTTACCTGTTAATTTTTTTTTTTAATGAGCTTTCAGTTTCATTATGTTACATTTGCATCCATGGTAACTCAGTCTGGTGATTGCAACTCCCAGTGAGTCCAAGAGTATTGGTAGATAAAAGTCTGCTGCCCCACAGCTTCTGCTCAATTTTTGGTTTTCTTTTTATTTACTTAAGATGATAACCTTTTTATTAAAACTGAAGCACTAATAAACATTACTCTTAAAGTCAACACTTTAAAAGCAAACTCAATCTAAGTAATCATTGATACTATTCTCATTATAAACATTTTCAAAACTCTTTCTGACCTAATGTCACACAGTCTTGTGTCTTCTTTCTCAAAGTTTGCTTTTAAGTTTTGTCATAGGGATTTCTGCTGAGGGGTGTCTGTTGCTGCTTTCTTTTAAAGCTAACCTCTGGAGCAATTCCCCAGATTTTACAGCACCCTTTTCTTAGAATTCCTCCTTCCTTCCATCATGTATACACAGCCAAAGAAAAAGGAAAATGAATGACACGAAGTAAAGCAATTCTGTCCTTTGGATTTCTTAGGACAATGTCAGTTTTAAGCAGTTTGTTACAGTTTTGGACCATTTGGTCCAGAAAATACAGTTTTCATCAGCATATCACTTCTTTGCTCTGTGTAGAACCTTCTCACAGGTGGAACAACTGAATTCTTAAATTATGCTAGTAGATTTACCACCCTGAAAAAAAAGAACCTTGAAATTCCAACAACCAATTTGCAGTAGTGTTTAATGAACTAATATCCCCACATAAATTTTCCTAGCCCACTTAAAATCTTTCACCAGCAGCTTGCTAAGAAGTGTTTCACAAACTGTTCCAAAGATATATTCCTGACATGAGATGTTTTCAACAATAATGTGCAAGATTTTAGGCAAATACTGAGACAGTTTTCATGACACGGGTAATTGAGGGGGAAGTAAGAGATATTTCAGTTTTATTCTCAATACCTAGGATAGAAAAATCACATTTCCCCTCCAAATTGCCTGTACTACCAATGACTGCAGCACAATCCCAGGTCACATAAATCACAAACCCTCATGGGAAATTTTCAAAATCTTCTAAAACAGTATGAGATATGGAGCTTGAAAACTACTTAGTTATAATGGCTGTTTTGTATCTTCTCTGTGGCCTTGAACTCTAATTATACTTATTTAAACATCTCCAACTTTCCTGTAACCTTCTACTAATGAGGGAACATGAGAACCTAACTGAAAGATAACTACCATTCAATCCCTTGAGTGATATTATTATCTTGGCCAAAATTGAAAACAGGATTGACTTCCACTACAAACATATTAATATTTTTGGTTTAAAATAAGCTTTAACTCACCGAAGGGAGGGCCCTAACCCAGAAGAACCCCAAGGTGAATGAGGACAGTTTCTAGAAAGGGTACAAAAGGCATATGGTACTCCAAAGAAAATGGCGGAGCTCAGAATGACTCTCAACAAAGAAACCACCCATTGCTGGTATGTTGGCATTCTTTGGCATCCATGTGTTTGAAAATAGGATAGTTTTAACTTTTGCCATTCTTTAAACAAACATTTTCTGATAATCTGATATAGTCTAATCATTGTGATAGTCACTGGAGCTAGATTAATAAGCTATCCCTGACTTCAAGTTAAACCCAGCGTAGGCAGAAAA